CTATCAGCTCTCTTAGTAGTGGCACCTGCCTGCCACACAGAGTGAGCCTCAGAATGTCTTCCGGCCATAGGAGCGGGTGGCTCCTGGCTGCTCTTTGCCACTCTTGGTGGTTTGGTGACACCAGGTCCCATGGCTGGTCTCCCTCAGTGTCACTACTTCTTGGTGTGCCAGTCTAGCATGCTCCATTTCAGAAGATGAGAGGAGGCTGCCAGAGCAAGGGAGCTATCTGCTGGACCTGCATCCATCCCAGCTGCAGCCAATGCCAGTGTCCAGCAAAGCACCAGTGGGATCTTGCTGCTCATGCTGCTGCAGGATGTCTTGGGCCTCTGGGGAGCATTGGCCTCCCTCCTGTCTCGTAAAGATGCCACCAAGCCTCGGAAGCCAGCACTCAAGTCCTGCATGCTTGGCTTCTGTTCCTTTAGCTGAAGATATGGTTGGTACACCCACCCTTTCCTCTTTTCCATCTTGTTCTTTATGAGCCTATTACGACTCACTGAGTCAGTGTTGATGTTAAAGGTAACTTTCAATTTTATCACCCTTGTTAAAAAGTGGGGCAAATAGGGGAGGCCCTAGGTTCAGTTCCTCACATTGCTGAAATAAACAACAGCAAAAGTTGAAGGAGAATTATGTTCCTCACATTTAAATTACAAAAAATATACAATGTACTGGAAATGCCATTAACAAGATTTTATTGTGTGTAGTTTATAGGATATTTGTTACTCCTGCTTGTGCTTTTAAGCAGCTCTTGTTTTGTTTTGACTGAGGCTCTAGTGATGGAAAAGTGTGGGACAGTTTATCACACGTGACGCTTGCATCTCAGGCCACTGCATAGCCTAGAGCTGTGGGTGAGGAGCCCACACAGCCACTGTTGGGCTTGCTGCGGTCAGCTGGGCTGAGCACTTGGGGCAACGGCAGCTTAACACGCTGGCAGGTCGCTTCGTCCTCATGCCTGTACCAGGTCGGTGCCCTCCCTCACCGTCGCGGTGGTGTGAAGACCTTGCAGTGTGAAGGGCGTGGGGTGGGGACGGGTGCAGCCCGAACAGCGCTCTTCGTTTGCCTGTGTGTGGTAAAAATGCGGAGCCTAAAGTGCACCTTCTCGGTTACTTGAAGTGAGTGGCTTTTCCGTGTTACATGCAGTCCCATTATTGTCCAACCACATTCAGGACTCCGGTCCACACCTGCCACTGTGCCCCATTAGGCAGCTCCCCCTGCCGCCCTCCCAGGCCTGGCACCCCCCATACTTCCTGTTTCCATGACCCTGATTACTGAATATTCAAGGGGGCGTGCAGGATTTGTCTTTTGGTGATCGTTTTATCTCATTTGGCAGGGTGTCCTCGTCTATGTGGTGGCGGATGTTAGAATGCCCCTCCTCTTTAAGGCTAACTTCCCCTGCACCTCTTCATGCAGTGAGGACACTGCAGGCTCTCTGTCACCAGCCTTTTCCAGCCTTCCTTCTCCCACCTGCTGTTACGGACACACAGCCAAGTGCTCTCCTCTACTCAGCTCTTCCTCACGTCCCTCCCCAGAGGAAGTTTCTCCCACTTGTGTCACAGGAGACGAGGGTGAGGGTGGGAGCTGCCCTCCCCACAGTCACGCAGGCCCAGGCTCCATCCTCATGTGCTTTCTCCCTCCTGTGCTGAGAGAGAGAACCTCGGAGAGGGCGGAGGGAGCCATGGGGCGGGGTCTGAGCAGTATCTCCTTCACCCATGTTTCACTGTCACACCGCACATTCCTGCCTCCCTGATTAACTGAAGGGATAGAGATGTGGTATTCCCCTCTGGGGACAGGGCAGAGGTGCGGGGAGCGTGTGGCGGCCCTGCCTGGCCGAGCAAGGTTGCAAGCAGCTGCAGTAGAGTGGCCGCCACTGTCAAGGCAGGGTCTCACAGTGGAGCAGACTCTGAGCTCAGAGCAACTTGTGTAGCCTCATGTTACAGTGTTTGTAAAAATTACTGCTATGGCCTTGGTAGGAAAGTTTAAACATGTGTATCAGATAAATGGAGAAGTAGCTTTTCCAGAGACCAGTGTTTCCACTCAGAGTTAAAGCAGAAAAAAATGTGTATCAGCACCTTTGAGTTACGGCTGGTAAAGCCTGTAAATATAAAGTAACTCAGAATTTTAGAAATATATGTTGAGCTGAGTGACTTTATTTTCCCTTATCATTTAATTAGTGTATGTTTACTGTGTGAATAATTGGTGCCTGACAGAGTGAGGATAATAATAATAAGTCCCTCAAAAAGGATCAAATGTAATGGGAAAAAATAAGGTGAATAGATTCTAGAAGCACCAGACCAGATGGAGGAGTTCTGCACCTGAGATGCCACAGCCAGGGGCAGGGCCACCTACACAAAGGGCAGTGCAGATGTCAGCCACTCACTGATTTTTTTTTTTCATTTATGTATTTGGTACAAGGTCTCACTATGCAGCTCAGACTCCTAGTGCTCCTCCTATTTTCAGCCTCTCCAGTGCGGTGCTTACAGTCACATGCCACCATGCCCTGACTCAATTGCTGGCTCAGCGCTCCCCGGCCAGCGCGGCATACGGGACCTGGGATCTTTGGTCTCTCACTGTTGCCTAGAGACTAGCTTCCTTATTTCTGAGTTTGTGTAAAGATTATATACCTTTCAGGTTTCTGGTAAAAACCCAGGAGAGTCTGCATGAGCCTAACTATATGCTCAGTGTTACTACAATGTGGTAGTTATTTTTGTTAACATCACTGAAGCCAGTAGAGTCCAGACTGGGTGGGAAATGCACTGCCTGACACAAGCTTCTGCATTCTCCCAGTTGGTGGTCATTCACTGAGCCACGAGTATGCACAGGGCACCTAAGATCGGAGGCAGGTGCACGTGTGCACAGCTGTGCTTGTCCTGCAGCACTGCACCTGCTCGGTGTGGAGCAGAGGCGTTGGTATTGCAGCTCTGTAGGCTCTAGGTTGACGGCATCCTTTCCCACTGTCGGTCACCAGCCCCACCCTCATGCTCTACTGCCAGATCCTGTGATCCCAGTCACCTCTTCCCCACCCACTCCCTGATCTTTCGTCACCTGCATGTCCATGGCTACATGCAGGCAACCTATTCTTTCTCATACAAACCTTCTTTACCCCCTTCCTTAAGCTTAATACTTTTTTCCCCAGTTACCTCAGAAATAATACACTACCTCCCTCCAGTCTTTGTGTGTTCACTGTCTGTTTTGTGTTCTGGCTAGGAACCCTGTGGTCATCCTGTTGCCTCCATGGCAGGGTCTTCCTACAGCCCCTGCTCAGCTGCCATCTACCGCTGCTCTGCTGAGCATCGTCCTGTTCTGCAGCCACTCCACTGTGCACTGATCAGCCTTCTTGATTGTCCAGAACAGAATTTTCCTTTATACATAGGAAAATGCCCAGAAGTATCTGTTAATCAGAGAGTAGAAGCACAGCCACTTGGATTTACCTAGCACTGAAAATAATTTTTTAAAAAATTACTTCCTGTGAAGTTATGTTTTATTTCATTGCCAGTACTGCAGAAGTACTCCTTTTTTATAAATGCAAGTCATCTCAGCTGCATTTGGTTAAACATGCATTTGTAAGATGGGGAGGAACCATTTATGACACTGTTCTTAGGCTAGAGGAGGCTTCTATGCAACTGCCTTTATTGGGCTACCTTAATTATCAATTGTGGGCTGTCTATTGAAAAATGCCCTTCTCACTAGTTTTTTAAAGAAGGATTTAGCTTTCCATAAAGTCGCCTTGCTTTTCTGGTATTCAGTGAAGACTGCTACTTGCAGAGATTCTCAAAATCCTTCGGCTCAGGGAAGGAAGTTGCTGCTGGAGGTGACTGGAAACGTTGGGCCTTAACAGATGCTGCCCTTGCATGCTGAGCTCACAGGCTTGTGACCCCTGTGAGGCAGGCTATGGGGCGCATCGCAGGTCCAAGCCTCGCCACGCTACCTGAGGACTGCCTGATGCGTGTGAGGGCGAAGTTAGCTTGTGTCCATGTAGCCCGCACTGCCCCACACAGGACTTCGTCTTCCCCAGGCACTGCCCTCTCCATGGCTGTCGGCCAACCACACCTGCCTTCAAGCCTGCCAAATACCAGGCCAAGACAGCCCTTAGACTTCCTGATCTCCTTCCCCTGTGATTAGAGGAGTCAGATGAGAACGAGCACACACAGAAGGCTTTCTGTTAGCCGCCCACCACTGCCTAGGACGGCCCACCTCCGCCCTCCCCAAGCGTGTAGCTCCCTTGGCTCAGAAGCCACACGCCGCCACATGCCATGGCTGCAGTGCTGCAGTGCAGAGGCTGCGTGCTGCTGCTTCTCTGGTGGCCTTTTGCAGCATGAATGCAATCCATCCCTGTTCCCAGGAGCCTTGCGTTTACAGAACCTGGCCTGTGCATCCCCAAATTACACTGGCGCTAGTTGATTCCAGGCTCTGTAAGAGCACTGTTCATGTTTGGCCGAATGTTCTGTGCCTCTTGGCACCTAGCAGAGTGGTGTGCTTTTGTAGGAGCATAAAAAGCGTTAACAGACCCAGCCCTGTACTCCCACCTCCTCAGAAGGCCAGAGGATCACCATTCAAGAGCAGCCCAGGCAACTTAGCAAGATGCTGCTTCCAAGTACAAAAATAAAGGGTTGGGAATGGAGCACATTGGTAGAATATGTGCCTACCACATGCCAGGCCTAGCTTTATTCCTAAAAAAAAATATA